ATGTACGCTTTATTAAGAGAGCTGAATCAGGGGTTAAACATATTCATTTCCAATTCCATACCAACTAACCATTCCCTCCTCCCAAATCTAGAATGACATTATAGATCTAGCTCTTCAATTGTGGGCTCTTTCTAAACACCCACTCCCCCTCCTCTACCCCCACCCCCACCCCTCGCCTTTCAAATACAACTTTTTTAAAAGGGCTACAAATGAAAATGTCCCAAACACAGCCTCACAAAAAGACCAAAGAGTTCCTGACCATGATAACTATCGAAATTGTTACAATTTCTTCCGCGTACTGTAAATTGACTATGAACAAGGCAGCGCTGTGATATAATGCTCTCTCAGTTATCTATAATGGTCTTTGCTCCATATATCCTGCTCATTTTAAGCCGTTTAAGAACCCTGTTCAAACACGAAAAAAAGACAGACGGCGGCGAAAATGACTAGTTTGTCAAGGCGTACACACATCAAACAATTAGCCCTCTCAAGGCGAAATCTCCAGGCAGAGATCTAGTGATGATTTAGGGCTCAAAGGGAGATGGAATGCAGGACGACTTGGCTTGCATAGACGTGTGACATCCTTCACGGGGACTCCAAACGCCCCAACGAATGTCAATAATCTCGGCTAACGGAAAGCTGTCTTTCCGGTATTGTAGTTGGCAACTTCTCAGCGGTTAACACCCCCTGACCTGCGCAAATGAAGCTTGCTAACGTCTACATAAGACATGGATTCACGTCAACGTCACATGATTTAATATTTTGCCAGGTCGTCCTGACCCCACAAAATGTAGAACATAAATTGACCTCATTTTTGCTATTTAGAATCATCTTTTCCTCGTCAAGTTCCAAGTGTTTCACGGGGTTTTTTTTCATAAAAGAGTTTGATTATCACCGCATTTTTCCCAGGAAAACAATTTGTGAAAATAGAAATGTAAGTTCTTGAACATTCTTATCTAATTACGTTGTTACGGCAATTAAATTGCTTAGTAACCGTTTTAACAGCTACTTCTTAAGTTATGGCACTCGCCTTACTTTGCCTCATAAAGCTGCAAATCATGATAACAGGTTATGTTTAGGGTATGCGTACCGTGATCTGTACTCAACGCAGCAGGCATTTTTAACGTGTATTTTTTCTAATTAGGAACATATTCCGAAGAACAGTACAGCACAGACGCAATCGTTTGCAGTATAGGATCAGTGACTTGACGGTGAAAGTAAAGCTCGAGTCATTGGGGGAGATCAGCATACCGATCGTCAGCCGATCGCCCTATTCGTTGAAGCGACAAGTCGGGTGATCGGTTTGTGCCACCATAGCCGCTTTCCTCCCTCAATCTGACTAACGGTCCAAGCCGAACCGAACCGATCGTGCCAATGGGTACTGGGTATAGTGGGCCCAAAAATCAAATTGAGTAATTTCGAAAACGCCCCCC